TAAGGTGGAGGGTCACAGAAAAAGAGGAAGACCCCCAACGAGATGGATCAGCCAGGTGGCATCATTGATGGCGTCAAGTGTGGCGGCAGCAGTGAGGTTGGCCCAGGATTGGACACTGATTTGTTCTGCTGTGCATGGGGTCGCTATGAGTCGGTTCCGACTCAATGGCACTTGACAACAACAAAAACAACAACTAGTAAGTGTTTTGGAGAGAAACAGCAAATCATCAAGTGCATGAGCTCTAGAGGCATTCTGCCTGGTATGAATCCTGACTCACTAACTCTTGCCTGAATTACCTTGGCCAAGTTACTTAATCTAAGTTTACTCAGTTTCCTAGTCTGTTAAATAGGGAAAGAATTGATAGCAGTATGAAGTTGGTGCCTACCATAGGGTTATTGTGTGGTATAAATATTCAAAGTGCTTAGAACAATGTCTAATATATAAATGTTCAATAAATATAAGCTGCTGTAATTACTACTTCTTTAGAGGGCTCTTGGGAGAATTACGTATTTGGCAAAGTGTAAAGTGGTTAGCAAAGTGTCTTGCACAGATAATAGAAGGTTGGTAATGGCCAAAAGATGGGCAGAAAATATGAAATCAGCAACACAGTCAGATAATTATTTATTTGAAGAAGGAACAGACCTAAGCAAGTGGAGTGATAGCAGCAAAAAGAGACAGAGTGTCAAGAAGAAGAATAGAGTTGTTTTTGTTAAGTGCCATCCAGTCAGTTCCGACTTACAGCGACCTTGTATGAAATTTCCAAGGAGTGGCTGGTGAGTTTGAGCAGCCAACCTTGTGGTTCAGGCCCACCCTGCGGTCCAGTGCTTTATCCCACAGCACCACACCTTAACTTCTTCAAAAGTATCTGAAAGTAATCCATTAGGTTTCACAATCAGAAGGCAGTTGACATTTGAAAATAGTTTTAGTGGGGAGCTGTGGATGGAAGCTTCATTGCTGTGGAGAGAACTGACAAATCAATGGAAAATGGAATTAATATAATTAATTATATTAGTGAGATTGGGAGTCCTAGATAACTCGGGGAAAAAAATGATTTAAATTCATACCTCAGATACACAAAAATCAACAAAACTTAAAAAATAATAAAATAAAATGATGAGGGAATCCAAAAGAAATATAGATGAATATATTTGCTTGCTAGGTGGTAAATAATTTTGCATGAAGCCAAGGGAGAATCTATAAAAGAAATGGTGTTCTATATGCATAAAAAATTTAAATACTATTAACTGAAATCACAGTAAATAAAATTTAAACATATGGCAATCAATAATTGTTTGTAATAAATAATAAATATCTTCTAATTGAAAAGTGATATGAAGAGGTTGTAAAAGATTTTGATCAGTTACAAAAAAAAGAAAAGACAAACCATAGGAAGTTAGGAAAAAGATAAGAGATTTTTGTGAACTTCATTCACAAAAGAAGTTTTAATTCCTAAAAACAAAAAAGGGAACTCACCGTACTTTGTTAGTCGTGAAGATATTAGTCATTAACCTTAGTCTTTGTGGAACATTACAGGGGAGTTTGAGTGGTGACATTTAATTATGCAAATTGCTGATAGCCACTTTGTATCTTTCCCTTTGGGTTGGTGTTGCATAGGACTTTATCTTAAACATATGTAAGGACATGGTCAGGTACCTGTCAAGCATGAACTTAGTTAACTGCAAGATAGTCATGCCAAGCAAGGCATGAAAGAAAGATTTTATGACATTCATTTTAGCACCAGAACATCCGAATTAACAGTTACAGTTACATAGTCCACTGGTTAGTTAGCCAATCTTTAGACTTTTACAAGAGGTCTATTGAAGAAAGCTTGATGATGGGTTGAACTTGAGACAGGTCCCCTTAGCTAGGGGTCCCCTCAGCTAGGGTCTGAGGTTAGTGGCAGTGGACAGAGACTCGTTCTGAGCCTCTGGAGGGTCTTCTTTTTGGAGAGTATCAGAGTCTGGAGAGGAATTTCTTGTCTTTGCTCCTGTCTGAAAGCATGGGCCAAAATTCAGTGATTATATATTTGAATTTTTAACTTTAGTCTCACAAGATAAACGTTAGGTGATATCATGTTTACAAAGACTAGTATACATCACCTTCATTGTAAACCTAATCTGGTGTCTCAAACACACCTTACAAAGATATAAGACCATAGTTATATATTACATACAGGCTGAGCCAGTTCAAGGGGTTTCTATCATATCATATGTGTGACAGACCAATTTAGGGAGGTTTTACTATATATTACATCATTGTGACATATTTCAAATTTTTATAAATAAATGAGAAATGTTCTTTTCTAATTGAGTTACAATTTCTGTATTATAGCATGTGAATCCAGTGCCAGTCATCTGGCAGTTATGTATCACATCCTTCTATTTATCATTTCTGATTTTAGACATTTTCTAAATGATTTTCCCATGATTTATAGTTTCTAACAGCTCTGTGTTTATAAGAAAAACAAATTTTCTAGGTAGATACCATCACAAAAGTGTATGTATATATTTCTGTTTCTAAATCGGATTTCTGGTGTGGTGATGTAGGTTCGTGCGCTAGACTGCACAGTCTATTTGAACTGTAAGTTAGGCAGTTCAAGCTCACCAGCCACTCGTCAGAAACCCTATACAAGGTCTCTATGAGTCGGAACCTACTTGATGGCATTTAACAACAACTCTGCTACTATAGGGAGCCCTGGCGTGGTGCTGTGGTATACAGCACTGAAACACAAGATTGGTTTGAACTGCAACATCAGTGACTCACACTCACCAGCTGGTCCTTGGAAGCCCTATAGACAGGGTCGCTGTGAGTTGGAACTGACTCGATGACATTTAACAACAACAAAAACTGTGTTATGTTAGGAGTCCTGGTGGAGCACTGTGGGTTAATGTGCCAGATTGCAAAGCCGTCTGAACTGCAATGTCGGTGGTTCAAGCTTATAAGCTACTCCTCGGAAACCCTCTACAGGGTCGCTGTAGGTTGGAGTTGACTCAAGGGCACTTAACAACAACAACAAACTGTACATATGGAGTCAGAAAGCATACAGTGTTAAAAATATTACAGAAGCCTTTGTGATTTGAGAACATAATCCATCTACCCACTGCTGTCAAGTCGATTCCAACTCAGAGCAACCCAATCTCATAGGGTTTTCAATGCTGTCAATCTGTACAGGAGCAGATTCCCTCCTCTTTCTCCTGAGGAGTCACTGGTGGATTTGAACCACCAACCTTTCAGTTAGCAGCCCAATGCTTAACCAATTAGGGCTCCTTTGGAAACACATACAGATGTATATAACACTATTATGGTTAATACTGTGTTCAACTAGGTACTGTGTGATGATAATACTTGTATTAATGCAGATGATTATAGTTTTCAAATGTAGCAAGCTTATTTTTTAAAACAAATATACTTTTGCTTTTAAGGGAGGAAAAGACTGAACAGTTGTTGGACTGCAAACAAGAACTTGAGCAGATGGAGCTAGAACTAAAAAGGCTGCAACAAGAGGTATGTATCTGGAGCTTTTATTATATAGGAACACCAAAGGAGTAACTGGAACTTGACCTTCTCCTTGTAATTTATAACCGTTCCCTAATGCTTTATATGAGGTTACTGATGACCTTCCAGTGTCTCTTTAATAATATCAGAGCCCAAACTAGAAATCTAAGTCTTTGGACTCTTTATATCAGTACTATTCCAATTTTGTTGTTAGGTGATGTCATATCCTCCTTTGGCACAGTGTGACCCTGAAGGATAAGTAAACTTCCCCATTGAGTTTTCTAAGATGTAATCTTTATGGGAGCAGACAGGCCTTTCTCCCTCAGAACAGCTGGGTGGGTTCATTGATGTGTTACCAGGGTTCCATATTGAAACTTTTTACCTCAAATATTCAAAGGAACCTTTTTAGACTGAGGATATTTTCCAAGTTACTGTTTTTGTGTAGGTGTGTCATTTGGCCTTGAAAACTGTAACACTTGTACTTTAAACTCTATGTGGTGAATATATTTTATATATATATATATGGAGCTATATATTTATATATATGGAGCTCTGGTAGCGTAGTGGTTACGAATCCGGCTGCGAACCGTAAGGTCAGCGGTTCGAAACTACCAGCCGCTCCGCGGGAGAAAGATGAGGCTTTCTACTCCCGTAAAGATTTACACCCTCGGAAACCCTATACAGGGTCGCTATGGGTCGGACCCGACTCGATGGCACTTAACAACAACAACAAATATATATATATACACACACACAAAATCTCCTTGGGTCTCTCATAATATGACTAACTATCCTTATATGTGACTGTGCTTTTCTGATTTTTTTTTTAACACCTTTTCTATTAAATAACATTACAACATTTTTTTTTTACTTCACGAAAACTACGTTTTTTCATCATTAAAAAAAACCAAAACCACATTTTGGTTAATTTTTTGTAATGTATTGTTTTCATTTGTGCATATAGCATGAACTCTTCTTTAACACATAAGTGGTGAGGATTGGGGTAAGGTTGCATAATTGTTTCTCCCCTTTATTTGCCGTAACCTACCATTTTTAAATACAGGAATACTCCATTTGTAAGATCATAAACCTGGGGTTTTCATAGATGAATGAGTCTTCAATAACTTGAAACTGATTGTGTTAAGAAAGGGGTAACTTAAATAGCCTAAATGTTCTGTACATTTCTGATGTTGATGTTGTTGTTGTTAGGTGCCATCAAGTTGTTACCAACTTATAGTGACCCTGTGCACAACAGAACGAAACACTGCCCGATCCTGCGCCAACCTCAGTTGTTGCCACACTTGAGCCCATTGATGCTGCCACTTTGCCAATCCATCTCGCTGGGGGTCTTCCTCTTTTTCTCTGACCTTCCACCTTACCAAACATGTTATATATAAGTTTATAAATATATATATATGTATATGTGTATATATGGAGTCCTTGTTTGGCACTGCAGGATAAAGCACTGGACCATAAGGTTCGTTTGAACCACAAGGTTGGCAGTTCAAACCCACCAGCTGCTCCTCAGAAACCCTATACAGGGTCACTATGGGTCAGAATCGACTCAATGGCACTTAACAACAACAATGTGTATATATATACATATATGTATATTTTAAAAATATGTATTTATTGAATATTTTGAAAATACTTTATATTCTTAGGTCAAAAAAGGCTTTGTGCCTCCACATTTTAAAGTAAAATGTATTTTTCATTTATATAGTGGTAAGTATGCAAGGGGACTTCAGAAATTTTGTGCAGAAATTCCACTGTCCATTATCAATTTTAATTTTATTTTCAGAAACTTTTTGAAGCCTCCTTGCATATTAATGAAAACAAAATGTTGCCATCTCAACATCTTTCTCATATACAGTTCAGTAACATTAATTACTTCCATCAAGTTCTGCAACTGTAATCACTATGCATTTCCAAATTTTGCCATCACCTTTTACAGAATCACTGTGTTACCCAATGATTCCATCTTTTCCCTTGTCCTGATAACTGCTATGCATTTGTCAGTTGTAGATGTTTTGTGTGAGTGGGATCATCCAATATTTTTCTTTTTTCAGCTGTCTTATTTCACTGTATATCACCTCGTTTTTAAAACATTTTATTGAAGTATAATTATATACCATAAATTTCAAAGTGTAAAATTCAAGTTTTTAAAATAAATGTGTTTACTCATGCGGCCTAGGAATCTCAATTTGAAAATATAAAATAATATATTTACTTGTTATATTCATTTATATTCAGAACATGAATTTGCTTTCGGATGCTCGTTCTGCTAGAATGTACCGAGATGAATTAGATGCACTTCGAGAGAAGGCGATCAGAGTTGATAAGCTTGAAAGTGAAGTCAGCAGATATAAAGAGAGGTTACATGATATTGAATTTTATAAGGCAAGAGTTGAGGTATGTTGCATAATTTAAACAGTCACATAATATTTTGTCTTTAAAAGTGTTGATTTAAAAATGCATTAAGACGTAATAATTGTAAGAAACTCTTGAAATGCTGAGCGAGCAGTAAATAATTGAGGTATTTATTTTATGGCAGGTAAGTGTCTTGATTATCTATGCTGTTATAACACATACCACAAGTGGGTTACATTAGTGAACAGAAATGTATTTTCTCATAATTTGCTGTTGTTGAGTATCATTGAGTCAGTTCCGATTTGTAGCGACCCTGTATAGGGTTTCTGAAGAGTGACTGGTAAGTTTGAACAGCTGATCTTGCAGTTAGTATAGTCCAATGCTTATTCTGTAGCGCTATATCCGAATTTAGGTGGTAACTCTAAGCAGAAGGCTCTCTCAGTCCACTCTGGATGGAACATCTTTGTCTCAGTTGCTTCTTGGTGCTCCTTGGAGAACACCATGAGAAATCTATTTTCCCATTCCTGCTTACTTGGTTATACAACTAATCTCCTTTTAGATCTCAAATGTGAGGTGATTTAAGACACACCCTGTACTCATATGGCCTAATTAACTAATGTAACAAAGAACACCATAGTCCCAGATGTATTCACATCCACATGCATGTTGTTGTGTGCTGTGGAGTCTATTCTGACTCGTAGAGACTCTATAGAACTGAGTGGAACTGCTCCATAGGATTTCCAGGGCTGTAATCTTTGTGGATGGAGTCCTGGTATGGCGCTGTAGGATAAGCAATCGCTCATAAGGTCGATTTGAACCGCAGGATTGGTGGTTCAAATTCAAGCAGCTGCTCCTTGGAAATCCTGTACAGAATTGCTATGAGTCGGAACCAACCGACTGACTGAACTTAACAACAGTCTTTATGGAAGAGTCCTGATGTGGTGCTGTAGGATAAGTACTGGACTACTAACTACAAGGTCGGTGGTTCAAACCCACTAGCCATTCCTTGGAAACCATATACAAGGTAACTAAGAGTTGGAATTGACTTGATAGCACTGAACAATAAGGAAAATTAGTATGGTAGCAGATTACCAGGTTTTTTCTTATGCAGATCCATTGGGTACACCACTCATCTGTCAGTTTGTTGTGTACTGTGGTGGTTTGAGAGTTGCTGTGATTCTGAAAGCTATGCCACCGATATTTTAAATACCAGCAGGGTCACCCATAGTGGACAGGTTTCAGATGAGCTTCCAGATGAAGACAGACTAGGAAGGAGTAACGAACAACTTCCAAATGTATTTAGTCACTGAAAACCTTATGAATACCAGAGAAACACTTTGAGATATAGTGCCGGAAAATGAGCCCCTCAGGTTGGAAGGCACTCAAAATGCAACTGGGGAAGAGCTGCCTCCTCAAAGTAGAGTTGACCGTGATGAAGCGAATGGAGTAAAGCCCATGGGACCATCATTTACTGATGGGACACAACTCAAAATGAAGAGAAACAGCTGTAAACATCCATTGAAAATCAGAACATGGAATGTACAAAGTATGAATCTGGGAAACTTGGAAGTTGTCAAAAATGAAATGGAACGCATAAACCTCAATATTTTAGGCATTAGTGAGCTGAAATGGACTAGTTTTGGCCATTTTGAATCTGATGACCGCATGGTTTACTATGTCGGAAATTACATCTTGAAGAGGAATGGTGTCGCATTCATCGACAAAAAGAATATACCTAGATCAGTCATGAGGTACAATGCTGTCTGTGATAGGATAATATCCATGCGGCTACAGGGAAGCCCAGTTAATAACACTATTATTCAAATTTACACACCAACCACTAAAGCCAGTGAGGATGAAATTGAAGAATTCTGTTAACTTCTTCAATCTGAAATTGATCAAACATGCAATGAAGATGTATTGATCATTATTGGTGACTGGAATGTGAAGGTTGAGAGCAAAGAGGAAGGATCAGTAGTTAGAAAATACGGCCTTGGTGATAGAAATGATGCTGGAGAATGTATGATATAATTCTGCAAAATCAATGATTTGTTCATTTCAAATACCTTCTTTAGACAGCATAAGAGACTACTGTACACATGGACTTCACCAGATGGAATACATAGACATCAAATTGACTACATCTGTGGAAAGAAACGATGGAAAAGCTCCATATCTTCTGACTGTGGAAGACACCATCA